AGGACCATGGAATCACAGAATCATTTAGGTTGGAAAAGACCTCTGAGATCACTGAATCTAACACTGCCATTGCTTCCCTAGGGAAGCCAAGGAGACCCACCTGCAGGTGAGCCAGGAGGGTGGCTTTGAGAAGGACCACAGTCCACACAGAACCTTTCCACTGCTGCACATTCCCATGCAGAGGAATCAACACACAGGCACTGCTTCAGTGCTCCACCACGAAATGATCACATCCATAAGCTGCTGAGCATCACAAGGACCTCTGACATGAGAGGTGAGAGCAAACCAGTCTCCCCTCCAGCTTTGGGATGCAGCTCTGAGCTGCACCACCACTTCCATGCTCGTGTTTCCCATGGATGCAGCAGCTTCAGTTTCTGCTGGAGAGGGAGGGATGTGCATTTAAACACGAGGGGTTTGTGTGCAGAGCCAACAGGTCCACCTGCAGCACCTCTCCTACCTCTTTTGGCATCTCCCGTGGGAAGAAGAAATATGGCACTGCAGACAGAGCCACCAGGCTGGCTGCCACCAGGAACCCGAGCCACCAGGCACCCACCCACCGCGGGTCCCCGTGGGTGAGCTGGACTTCAGCTGCAACACAGACAGAGAGAGGGGCATCAAACCAGCAGTGAAAACAGGGAGGGACCCCACTGCACCAACAGGATGGTGATGGGTGGCCTCTGGCACCCTGAACATCAATCAGCTCCAAAGTGGTGGCTCCCAGTCCGGGGACCATCGGATCTCACCCCCTGGTGTTTAATCACATTTCATTCTTTGCTATTGCCAGGGTCTCCAAAAAGCCACTCAGCCCTTTGGATGGAGACAACTGGGACAAGGATGTCCCTCAGCTGGAAAGGCAAAGGAAAGCACCCCTGTCACCGCTTTTCCAGAGAAGGGACACCTGTGTTGTGGAAAAGCTTGGAAGTACTGACTCGGGGGGATTAAGTCATGATGGCTGTCAATACAGAAGGAAAAATTCCTTCTGAAGTTTAAAATTAAATTAATTACAGTTAACTTTTGGCATCCAAGAGCACTGGTTTAGTTGTTTACAATCGCTCTACCCACACAGGGATCCCCTGTTGGCAGAAGACTTGGATCCTGGAGTGGTGCCCACCACTCTGGTCCATCACCCAGTGCCTGCTTTGCAGCTCAACCAAAGGAAGCTGATCTTTAAAGATGCTTTAATAAGAATTATATCCCATCCTCCTGTCTGTCTGCCCTCAGTTTTCCCAGCCTCCTCTCCTGCCATCCTCAGGGCTCTGTGCCAGCAGTAACATCCCTCATGGGGAGGGTACCTGGCACTGATAAAACGGGACATGCAGGAGCCACAATGTAAATTCACAACAGGGGGAGTCTGAGCAAGAAATATTTCTCCAGAAAAAGGTGATCCCTGTGGTAAGATGGCATTCAGGAGCATATCCCAGGAAACAAGTCCTCCCAGGAACCTCTTCCTTGAGGTTTAACATCGGTGAGCCGTTCACACCGGGGAGGTGCAACTGAAACTGCATTTTACTGGGTTTTGGTGCAGCCACATCTAATCTCCAATCTCTAGAAGTGACAAGTGATAGGAAAAAGAAATTGATAATCTCCTCCCTGCATTTCAGTAAAATGGAATTTTAAATCCATTTAAAATAATGGATAAACACTAATTTATTTTTCTCCTAGTAAAACAATAGCTTTAACTCTAAGCAGCCACAGCTCGTCAGCTTTTCCCAGCTGGCTGAAGACACTTTTAGGCTGAAGGGAGCCTAATATCCCATCTAACCCTGCCCTCCGGCAGTGGGAAGCCATTCCCCCTTGTCCTGGCACTCCAGACCCTTGCCCAAAGTCCCTCTCCAGCTCTCTTGGAGCCCCTTTAGGACTGCAAGAGGCTCTAAGGTCTCCCTGGAGCCTTCTCTTCTCCAGGCTGAATATTTGCTCTGTTAACAACCAGGAAAGAGCCTCTTATTTTCCAGACCATGATTCAAGAGCAGCCAAAAAGGAGATGATTACAAATGCTTTAATAGCACATCTCAGGGAGAGACATTTGAAAAGGAAATCCCTTTTGTGCTCCTTTCTTGCCCTATCCAGCATTTCCCTTCTCCTTGTTTTCACCTTCCTCCCATCCTACCATGCTTCTTCACACCTCAGGGCTGGTACCCGTTTTCCAGCTCCATCTTTCTTCTTCATGTATCTTCTCCCTGGGTTTTGGTTGTTCTCCACATCCCCACTACTGGCTGGCAACAAAACACTCCTGCCAGTGGTGCTGGCATATGGCAAGAAATTCGTGGAATTCTGCTTAAAAATCCCTCTCAGGGCACGTTCACTCACCTCCGCTGACTTTGTCGATGTCCACGTAGAACTGCAGCATGGCAGAGCCCAGCATGAAGGCCACCCCTGGCCCAATGACAGTCACAGAGAACAGGATTCCTGCAGAGAGATGAGAGCAAAGAGGGCTCAACCCTGTGGGAGAGGACCACAGGGACAGGAGGTGCCTCCAGACCGGACCGGGCTCCTCCATGTCCACCTCCAGCACAGCTGATTTTCCTGGCAGCTTCCTCAGTGCCCCTCTCACACAGCAACAGTCCCGTGCTCCCTTCAAAGAAAAGGTTTTGCAAGGTTCAGACCTTTTCTGCCCCTCTTCTCCAGCCTCCCAGAAAGACTGGAATACGCCCAGGAACAAGACGTGTCTCTCTGGCATAAGAAATCCAGGAAATGCCGAGATTTTTTACAGGGTGGAGGAGATAAAAGTTATCAGTGAACTCTCCTATGTGAATTACTGATTAAAAATGTATCAACACATGGGAAATTCAACTCTTGCCTTACATGTGATCCTTTCAGCTGAGGTTCAGAGGTTTGAATCAACCACCAGAGCAAAATTTGATGCTGTACTTCCACTTTTTTGACAGTGATGACCTGGTTTTGATCCACCTTTGCTGTTCCATTCAGTTCAAGTCAATTCAATTCAGTTCAATTCAATTCAATTCAATTCAATTCAATTCAATTCAATTCAATTCAATTCAAT